AAACGTATCCTTTCAACCTGCGTGACTTGCGTGCCCCATCTGACATTTTGAAAACAAAACTTTGAAATGCTTTCTTTCCGAATTCAATTTATTATTTATTTTCGTCAATTTTTTCCTACACAATAAACACTTCAATTACTTTATAGTAGAAAATTTTGCATCAAATCTGAATGAACACGCATGCATATATTCCTTAACTTACAACAACAATAAATAAATCCGATATCCAATTAATGATAAATCTGAAGTAGCGTAAAATATAATTGCTTCAGATCAGAAATACGAATAAAATTGTTAGTCTTCGCTTTTTGAAATATTTCAATTATTATTTGTTCATCTTTGCAAATTACAAACGACATGACAGTTTCACTCAGAGAAGTCTTCTAACAAACATATCCTTTTTTGAGTTTTAATAATTTTTTAAGAAACTTACAATTTATTTGCTAAGCTAAAATACAATTAATTACTGATTTTTTTGTACAAAAAACTAAAGCAGTTGTAATTCATCTCACTAATACTGAAAACAAATACATTTCCAAAATTGTTTTAATTTTTTGAATTCGAAAACAAATTACATCTAATCGTATCTAACAATTTTAGCCATTTTTCACATTGCAACAAATTAGTAAAATTACGATTCTTCGAATATCATATAAACATTTGGCAGGTAATCACAGAAAAATAGACAATTTGAAATAATTTAAAAAATGATACAAATAATGACAAAAACATCTATATGCGTACACTGTAATGAATGGAAGGCATTAAAGCAGTAAATATGGCATTAACTGTAGAAAGTTGTGGAATAACAATGACAATAACAATAAAAGTAAAAATGATAATAATAATAAATAATAAACTTTTTTTTCTGAAGTAAAAGAGTTTGTCAGTAATGTCTCAAAATGCCGCACTCTTATTCCTCTATCAAATTTTTATAGTCAAAATTATTACATATTAATACCATAATTAGAAAAAATTTACACTGGAAATTTTTACATTACTCTGCAGGAATTGAACTGATTCTGAATCACTTGCAGTGATTTAAACTGAATTAAAAAATCATACTTATTTATCAAATAATGAATACAAACTAATGAACTAAATTGTGTTGCATCTAAATATTTTTTGATTATTTGATTATATATAAATCACCGCAGATGACTCATTTAGTCTGAGCAACAAAAATATTATTATACATGAAAAAATATTAATATAAGGGATCTCAGACGTAAGTGCTATGGATTCTCCGCGCTTTGGTCGTGAACAACTTGGATGATAATTTGATAATGAACGATGGAATTCTTCGGCACCACAAAAATTTCTTTTCAACAATTCTGAATCCTGCAAAACAATGAAAATTCTTCTTGTAGTTTAGTTCAAAATTAGCACAAAAAGATGATATAATTCAGTTGTACTGGAAGAAAGCAAATTTTTAAAAGCTTTTTTGGGATTTAATTTCAATTACAGTCAAAGTTGAAATTTGAAAGTTGCAGTGATAATCAGTAAAGTCATTAAAACTAAAAGTAAAAAATTTGGTTGAAATATGCTGACAAAAAAACTAATTCATATCAAGTTAAGTACTACGCAAGTTTAAAATGTCATTAGCACTTTGAAAATTTGAAATTTGAATGTGTTGCTTTGTAAAAAGTGAAATTACAAATTAGATTACAATTTACAAATTTTTCAATCATAAAACATAGCAGTGTAAAAATTAAAAAAGTCAGCGTAACTATTACAAATAGTTTATCTGAAAATGCAATTTTTAGACAAAATTTTACCAACTAACCCATGCTAAGCTAGAATGATTTTATACTTGGATTAATGAATTAACAATGGATTAATATGATT